TCTTGGGGAAAGTGTGGTCAGAGTGTTCCTAGGAGACAAAGATGACAAAGCTTTGCCTCACATACGTTGGGCATGTTGTTGGGAGAGGCTGCTCCTTGGAGAGGAACATCATGCTTCAGGATTGATCACAGTGAGGAAGCCCTTCAACTCATGGGCTGACACAGTGACTGCTTCAATAGGCCCAAGTATGTCAGAGATGATGAGGACGGCACAGAGCAGGCAGGACAAGGTGCAGACCTGTTGCTCATAGTGTTGCTATGAGGTGTATTCAACTCAACGGCATGCAACAATAACAACAAATGGTGGGAAAAAAAACAATATACCAACAAAAACCTCCAAATCCCCAATAACTTGCCTTCAGGCCTGACAATACTAAAAAAAGCCACAGTGTACTGTGTTCATTCTTCAATGTTTATTCCTCACCAAGAGCGGCACCCAAGGATTTGGGAGCACAGAATCATCTGAGCCAAGATAAGAAGGATGTAGTACAGAACAGGAGGAAGACAGGGGAAGCAGCTGAACAAGGACTCAATCGTGAAGGGTCTTGTGGATAATATAAAGTCACTGGGGACTTTGAGATGGGAAATGATGTACCCAAATTCAAGTTTCAGAAGCACATCTCTAATAGCAGAGGAAATGTTATGCTTTGGTGTGACCAGGAGAGAAGGGGTTTGCCAGGTTAGAGACAATAAAGGCTCTAAGTAAAGCAAGGGCAATAAAACAGAAGGAAGAAAGAGAGGAAGTTCAAGCAATATCTAGGAATCAGAATTAATGAAATAAAGTGAAGTGTGGAGAGGAAGGATGCCCGGGTGACCCAAGAAAACACAGGGGAAAGAGACCTGGCTCCCCGCACTGGGAGCTGAGAAAGATAAGGAGAGGTTCAGTGTCTGATTTGTCTTAAGTCTATGAGTGATTTTCTTTTATTGCCAAATCAGATTCCACCCCTCATCTATGTATACACCCACTCTTCACTTAACAACACGTTTAGATTCCAAAGACCAAGTCCTCATCCGTATTATGTAAAACTGGAGGATGACCACATCACTACACAATTGCCAAACCACCGAGAATCAGCCAAATTGACACGTAACCTTAACCAACGCAGCCAATGTGACTCTCACCTCCATCCACTTTGCTCATATTGCCAGACAAACATTGCCAATGTGCTAAACAGTCAGATGCCAAATTTTCTACTACTAGACATGCGAAGTACTGGATAACAGTAGAGCTGGTTAGTGAGGAGTAGGGATAGTTGTTATTATAAAAAAAAAAAATTAATAATAGTAATACAGTTCCTGCAGTAAGAATTGCACACACCAAGACCAAAACAACCAACCAGCTAAATAATTTAGAGCAGAGTCAATTCTGAGGCACAGCAGCCTTATGAGTTTCAGACTAGAGCTCTGCTTTGAGGAGCTTTCGAGTTGTAATCTTTTTGCAAGTGCATCACCAAGATTTTTTTCCAAGGTGTCTCTGGATGGACTCAAACCATTAACCTACCTGTTAGTTGTTGTTGTTGTT